CGCCTTCTTCTCATCTTTTTCGATTTGTTGTCAACCAAAATATTAAGAAAGAAAGCAACACTTACTGTATCATTACCTGTATCTTCTCAATATTTTTTGTATCTCTGTCAGTTTCCGCTTTGAAAACGAAAAAAAAAACAAATTTTTTCTTCTGAAAACGCTTGAAAAAGAACATCATATTCTTTTTTACCTTGTTTTGCTTTACTTCTGTGTTTTTTTGCTTTTATTTTCGCTTTTTTAAAGTATTTTAGAGTTTTTTTCTAAAACGTCTGCTTGATTTATATACGTGTGTTGCTGTAGTCGATCGGTGCTACTGATGCAGAGCGTTAACAATCAGGTTTCTTTAGTTTATTCATCATCCAAACACTGAAATTGAACATTAATAAAAAAAAAAGAAAAAATGAAATGCTGATATAATTGTAATCAAATTTATGTTTATTTATTTTTTTTTATTTTTTATTTTTTTGCTTTATAATTTGCTTATTTGGCTTAGTAGTTTTTTTTTATTAGCCCAGACCAACAATTGTAGACTTGTACTGAATGGTAATGAACAAAGTTTTTTTTTTTTTTGACAGCTCAGCATGAAACTTGGTGACGTTAATCTTGGTCACTTGATTGTTTTTTTTTGCCTGATGTGAAAAAAATAACAGCTTTCCAAAAGAATTTATTAATAGCTGATCTTTGCTGAGTAATAATTGTTAAGGACAGCTAATGAGGCATGTTGATACCTGAATATTTTGTTAATCGTTAAGCTGAAACTAATTAAATAGCTTTTTCTCAACAAATTTTCTGACTGCTTTTTATACTTATAGACGTGTCAAAATTAGCTGTAATTACTGCTGAACAGAACGGATAAAAAATTTGCAAAATCTCAGCATTTGATTTTTTGGCGAAAAGTTTAACATCATTTTTCTGTACTGTATTTGTCTTAGTAGACAAATACAGTACAGAAAAAATGATGTTAAATTTTTCGCCAAAAAATTAATGCTAAGATTTTGCAAATTTTCAAAAAAAAAATTCAATTCAATCGCTAAACTTTATGAGTTTGAGAAATAAAATAAATTTCTTCTTGCAGAACATGTTTGGTCGTTATACAGTGGCTTTAATAGTCTACTGATAAAATTTAGGAAACCAACAGAAATGATTAACGTGGTTTACGTTGATGATGTAAATTGTCTGTGTGACTGTTAGTAACATGTGGGCTCAAAAAAAAAAGAGAAACTTACCCTCCAGTGTATCATTAAAACTTTTAGGTGGTAAATGCCAGGTCTTATTATTGTATCAAACTATTTCGTATCAAAATTTCTTGAACCTCCTCATTGGTGGTGGTTCATCGTACAGCTCCGACTGTTCACTCCTGAAGTTTTTAACCGGTGCAGTTTTAGCTTTGTCTTCTGTATAAGACATTTGGCTTTTGATAACGTTAGTTTATGCGACAAATATATTTGTTGTCAACTGTTCACATATAGACTTCTTTAGGCTTGATTTTCTTTCTTTTTGACCTTAATTGTGTTATGCGTTAAAATTGGCTTAATGTTCTTATATGTTCAAAAAGAATCTTGCACACTTATGAATTCAATGACAATGTATTGTTTTTTTTAAAACTGCAAAGTATGACATCAGTTTATCCAAAAAAAAGTGATGACGTCCGAAGTCGGGAGGCGTCTCTGTAAAGTGCTGCTTCGTTGCATATTTTACGGAAAATTTCTCTTTGTAGGTTTATTGTTTCTCCAGCATTTAACCATAATCTGTTTCATGGTTTGCAGAAATACAGGATATTTTTTGTTGCTTTATCTGTGCTTATTAGCTGAGACCATTTTAGAGAAGTTTCAAGAATACTCTGATTGCTAAAAGTCTGTTGACAGTTTGTTTTTTTTCGTGTGTGCGTTTGTTTCTCGTCTTCTTGACTGTCGTTATTTTTTTGTACTTAAAGATGTTGTAAACTGGTAGTAATACTGCTATAGAAAAACAATATTTTAATTAATTATCAATCAACAATCAATTATCGATCACTGAGTTTAAAGTTTACTAAAAACAGGTCTTTAAAAGCTTTAGGTTTAATATATTCTGTGTTGAAGCATTGGTTTCCGAAAACTACGTTTTTAGCAGTAACGTTCAGACTAAAATACGTCATCAGTTATGTTCTGCAAATATTGCGATTATAAGTCATGTTGGCCAAATCGTATCATTGCTTTATCATCGTCGATTAAATTAAAAACTTTATCAAAAATATTTTCTGTCACCTTTTGGCACTAAATTTTGAACGTTGAATTTGTCACTGTTGAGAATTAAAAGCACTTATTAGTTTCAAAATCAACCAATTTGCAGCAGGTGCTTACTCAGATATGCTGTTGTCTTACACGAGCTTAAAATTGATGAGTTTTTTTTTTT